GCGCACTAACTCGGAACAAGCACCTGTGCCGGCTACATGGGAGAAAAATACCACTACACGCCAAGGCGAGAGTTCTCCCGCGAAGATAGGTCCGGGCAGAAGGGTGAATGAAGAGGGCATGCCGATTGTTGTTGAGGATGATTCCGATAGTGGGAGTGACGGAGGTCACCATGACCACCACGGCGCTCAGAACTACAGCATGGATGGGTGGGACGATGATGACGACTGGGGCGAGGTCCATGAAGAGGAGGATATTACCATCCGGGCGGACTTGGAGAGCGCGACTCTAGATGATACCGATGACATGGAACCGTGGGCAGTCGGCGTGCGACGGAGTGTCGAGAAGGCCAGGCGGCCAGTGAAGGGCATCTTGAAACGTAAGTGATCCAAAAGACCTGTGTTTGGAGCTCATCGTATTTGATCCACAGCGCGAATAGATGGCGCTGAATACCAACAAGAAGCCCATTTGCAGCCCAACGCAGCATTCAGCCGAGTTCGTTCGAACTCGTACGACTCGGCGCCCTCGCACGGCAACGAGCTTGGTCCACTTGCGCGAATCCCGTCGCCAGATCCCGACCACATTGATGGATTACATAGGCACAACAGCCATGGTTCTGCCAACGGACATTCTGGCAACGGCAGCATGCTTCCTCCGCTGTCGTTTGACGGCAATGGGCTCAAGATGGACTCACCGAAGGACAGCTCGGATGCGAACAGCGTACATTCGGCGATACCAGAGAAGGGACTTTTCAATCATCCCAATTCGTCGGCTCCTGCTTTGTCCACGATGTTCTCGCCGCAGCCTCCCACGCTGTCGCAGCGGTCGGCCACGGCACCCTCAAAGCGTCTGGCGTTTGCGTCTAACCTCTCTGTTTATGACACATTCCCAGCGACTGTCTACGATAGACGGAGTGAGCCTGCGACTTGGAGCCGTCTGACACCCGCATTAGCGCAGCGTATCAAAGAGGAGCTCAACTCTTATAAGATGGAGGAAATGGAGGTTCACGCGGCCAGTCGTGTACAGTGCGTCTCGTGGTTCCTAGTAACAAGCTTACTCTGACGTTGCCCACAGCACCCAATTCTTTGTCTAAGATACGTACGATCGGCACTCGGTAGCACAGTTTCGTTTTTTTTTCACCTTCTGCGTAAATGAAACTTTCACGCTACGTAGCATTTTTGTGCCTTACCCAAGCAATTGTTAACCCCCATAGTCGTTCCCCCACCCCCTCCCCCAAGTCGTCGCTTGCACCATCCTATTTGCACATGGCAACTGTTAACGCACTTTTGGATCAGATATTCGCGGTTCTCGATCTCATCTCAAGTTATAGTATACCCCATCAATCCCCGCATGTGTAATACTATGACACATCGTCGTTTCGATCCCTACGTACATGTACGCTGTGCCGTACTTATTCGCCATCTCATTCTTTCTGCACCCACGGACCTTCACGGCTGTGTGCTCATCATAGCTAACTTGCGGCTTACACGTGCTTTCTCGTAATTGTCTTGATCGTTCGGGTTCCCTCTTTCCTTTACAACGTAGCTAGCTCCCGTGTTCATATGAGAAGCAAAGTCAAAGTTGTACATGTTTGCCCTCATGCACCACTGCAGTTTCATCTGGAGCCATTATATTGCGATCGTTCGCCGGGTCACCAGGCATATGGGCACAGCAAAACGACAAGTGAATATGATGCTATATGTAATCTACAAGATTGCGTGGTTAGAAGTTACGGCTGCAGCGCACGGGCAGGATAAAATAGTAAGCAGGACCAAATTCAGCTACAGCGTCCGACTAATTACCAATCGACGGGCCCAATCAGTCCCATGATGGAGACGTGCTATAAGAATGACTGCGCCCGCTTCCACCATTCTGCTGTTGCGCAGGGCTGGACGGCGACCATTGAGGCGAAGTTGGACTATAAGCTGGCGACGCCGGCGCTGTGAAATCAGACGTAAGTATTCAGATGGTCAAGGTCCAAAAAATTACTCACAGTACGCAGGTGCTGAGATTACGAAAAAAATGTGACGATAATCAGTTATCGGAATACGCAGCGGCATGAGCGGTACTTACATGCGGGCGAATAAGCCGGTGATGTTGGGGCTGCAGCGAGAATTTAACAAACCCACCTGGTGATGAACGCGTCAAGTACTCACAATATTTCGGAGAGGAAGGCGACGCTGGTGATGTCGGTGAATACTTCGGCGAAGACGGAGACATCTGGGCGGGTGCTATGGAAAAGTCAACACTTGATGGGTTCCGATAGTTAAAAATACTTACATGCTGCAAAAATTGGTAAAGGTTATAAGGAACCATCAATATAATGACTGTATAAAATACAAAATACATACTAGGGGAATCTATAAAAATGCGATTAGTCCAGATATCAATGACAACGATCTAGACGAATACACGTACAGCGGGGAGACGCAGGGCTGAATGACGGACTCGTCGGTGAGTACCGCGGGGACGTAGGGCTGAACGAGGGGGATTGGGGACTGTATCGAGGTGACGTGGGGGAGAACGACGGAGATGTCGGAGAATATCTTGGACTTGTAGGCGAGTATCCAGGAGATGTCAGATTTAGTGCGGGTGACGTGGGCGAGTAAGTAGGCGATGTCGGTCCACGAGTACGGTCGTAGAAGGGTGATGTCGCATAAGGTGATGTTCCGAAGGGCGATGTTGCGCCACCAAAAGGAGATGGTGGTACATATGGCGACGTGGGGGAATAGACATTAGGGGAACTGGGACTGTAGCCGGGTGCTGCGGGCGACATAGCACCGGCGCCCATCGGACTCTGTCCAAAACCCAAATACGAGAAACTGGCAGGATCCTCGCCACCATTCACAGCAAGTGGGGAGAATGCCGCTGCTTCACCCTTGAATGATGAATCTTGCGACCACATAGGGGAGTTGCTGTCGTACGGAGTCATGGCTACCTGGCCAGGAGTCATACCTCCATCGACCTGAGCCGCCAACATCGTTTGAACGGGCAAGCGATGGTCCACGATGACATCCTTCAACATATCAATGTCCAGTGCGACGTCGAATGCACCAGTCCCCATAGGTGCCATCTGACCAAAGATGACGTTCTCCGCAATTCCGTGGCAGTCATCCCTCTCGCCAACTGCGGCAGCCTCCATGAGAATTTCGACGGTCTCCTCGAACGAACTCCGCATCAATGCTCCCGTATCCGCTCGATTTATGCCATGACGCGTGATGGCCATGAGAATACCGCGATGCGTCATGAGATCGCAGAGTAAGGACAAGTGACGATAGTTCACGTAAGACCCATCGAATTCGATAACCCCACGAAGTTCTTTCATGATAGCAGCTCGAGCAGCCTCAATACCAAGAACGTTGAAGACCTCAACACAGCTGTTGGAATACGTGCGCTTGAAGTCCACACCGCCGATGGACATTACCGCCTTCAAATTGACTCCGTCCGTCTCGAGTACCCATTCTTTCTCCGAGTGCGCTTTGATACTGCCTTCTTCTGTAATGCTAACCCTATCATGCTCAAGCAAGAAGACGCGCTGGATACCGGTCACGCCACGGAGGCTGATGGAATTGAGCATGGTGTTTTCAAGCTGCCGGAGGAAGATGTCTTCCTCAACCGTATCCATTCCATCTTCCTCCTTGTCTGCGCCGCCCAGAACACGACATCGAATGATCAGCTTCTCGGAATTGTCCTCGCTCCAGATGACGAATAAATCTGTCTTGAAATTGTCTGCAATTCGCCCCGCAACGTAGGACATTGTCAATTTGCGATCAATCATCTTAGCACGATCCAATTCCAGTCGAAGAAGCCAAGGCGATTGGAGATGAAGGTTCGCTTCAACGTCATCATCTGGTATTGCGAAGAATGACTCCACGAACATACTATCTTCTTCAATAATGGTGGAACTCGGATCTGGATCATACCAAATTTCCACAGCCGCTGTGACAGTACGAAGAGAAGTATACGCAAGTTCTTGTTGAACACTGTTGGCGGAGATTTGGTCTTTAGCTATCTCAGGATCAAGATATATCGAGAGCGAAGGGGTCTTGATATTCGTCGCGACATTGATAATCTCCTTCAAACGAGGAACACCCAATGTGACGTTCTTGCTGGAGACACCAGCGTAATGAAAAGTGTTCAGCGTCATCTGTGTAGCCGGCTCTCCTATAGATTGCGCAGCGAGTGTCCCGCACATTTCCCCTGGGTGGGCTAGCGATTGATTGAACTTCGCTTCGATCTCACCAAGAACCCATTCGAAAGCCTCCCGATTGAGATGGTACTTCTCGAGTACTCGTCGTGCTGCAAATGTGGCGCGCAAATGCATACGGAACATCAGCGCGGCGTTATCCTGAGCCTCTCTTGTGAAGAGCGTGTCTCCCCGCACAACGACCAACCGTTTCCCCAACTCTCGGACGGAATCGATGATGTAGGCCGGTTCGAGGTCGCTTGGTTTGCGTCGATCTATATGGAAAATTTGGACTGCGTTTTGAACAATGCGCTGCAAATTGACGGGCAGGTGATGTGGAACGCTAGGGTCCTGACGTCGGAAGACAAATTCACGTAGAAGCCGCCTATCCCCGACCAACTGGGCAAACTCTTCATCAAGTTTAGCCTGAAGCTCTAGTGAATTGTCATCCAAGCCTGCTTGCAGAACGCCGGGAAGGAAGCCGCCAGAGGGGTCGGTAACATCCACACGATAGTTGTGCTCGAATTCTCGATTGTTCATCGCAAACGTCTCAATATTCTGGCGTTCGATGAACGCACCATCCATTCCGTCCTCGCCATATACGAATTGAATCAAGTCACCTAGTGAATTGCGGACGGTCCCATCGTAGCAAACCATGACATCTTCTAACGCCTTGACGAGCCGTCGCTGGATGTATCCCGTCTCGGCAGTTTTGACAGCAGTATCAATCAACCCTTCTCTACCAGCCATTGCGTGGAAGAAAAACTCCTGTGGTGTCAACCCACGAAGATATGAATTTTCGACGAAACCACGCGCTTCTGGACCGAAGTCATCTTTGGTGAAATGGGGCAACGTTCTATGACGGAAGCCATATGGAATTCGGCGACCCTCAACAATTTGCTGGCCTACACATACGGACATCTGCGAAATGTTGATGAAAGAACCTTTTGAGCCAGCGACCACCATCTGCTTGACATTATTGTCCTCCTTGAGATTCTTCTGGGCGTACTGTCCGTTCTGGTCACGAGCCAGATTGAGCTCTCGCTCTACTCGGCTCTCGAATGACTCTCGAATGGTCATACCGGGAGCAGCCTTCAAGCGATCATGTGTAGCATCATCTATGGCCTGCGTAACATTCTGCTTCCTGATCGCGATCTGCTCCTGAATGTGCGCCATGGTACCTCGGTCGGCAATCGTGTCACCGATACCAATACTGAAACCGTTGTGGAAGAGCCAGTAGTTGACGACCTGCTGAAGGCCCGAAAATAATGCTCGCGTTACCTCCGGCCCCTTCTCACGGAAAGTAATATGGATGAGACCGCCCTGCGACGCTCCAACGGTCTTCTTCTCGACAACACCAAACAGAATTTCACCGTTCTCGATATTCATACCATCGTCAAAGACGGGGTTAAACGACTTGGGATCGGGGGATCGATATATGTTGATACCGCGTGGTATGCACATGCTAAGAATTTGCTTGCCAGTCCACAAAGGCTTGGGCTTGATGACAGTAGGCAAAGGCACAGAACCATCCCAGTCGGGTACCCATAACAAGATATTCTGGACTTGGTTCCAGTCCAAGAATGTGTCACGGAGAGTGAACTTCCTGATGCCACAAAGGGTATCTTGCACAATTGCCATAACAGGCTTGTTTGCCTGCGGCGAAATGATCTGACAGGAACATCAGTAAAGTGTACACTGGAAAGGTTAAGACCTAACCTGTCGTGGCACCCATGCAATCTGACTTAGTTCTGCGCGAGTCTCTTCACTTTGCGGTACGCTGAAGGTAGTTGTGAAGCCACTAGCTGAAGCAGCAGTGATGGAAAAACTTACTGCATATTCATTTCATCACCATCGAAATCGGCATTGTAGGGAGGCGTCCTGTAAGCACCTAGTCAACATCGCTACACCTGACGCAACCTAAGAAACGTACACTGAGAGATTCAGACGGAAAGCTGGACAAACGATATAATATTAAACAAATTCAAGTAGACAAACAAATAGGAGACCCACTGGAATATGGCATCAACTTCACACGATGACTCATCATACTCATTTTGTGCAAACTCGGCTGTCGATTGAATAGGACAAAGCTAGCCAACAGCATTGAAGACATACCATTGCAATAGATGACAAGACAGACTCACTCTCCGTCCCTTAAGTGACGTTCCACAATCCATCCATATTGTAAGAATGCATCTGCACGCTTATTGTACCTGAGGTCTATACGTTCACCCGTATCTCGGACGACATAGCGAGCACCAGGATATGTTGTGGGACCATTGCGTACGAGTTCTTGCAAGTATGCAATGTTGTAGGGTGTAACTGAGGGAGTAGCTGGTTAGACAAATCATGACGTATAAAGCATCTCAGCATACCTCGCTCTGGGAATGTAAGGTTCATCGCGATACTTTTGGGCACACCAACTTCGTCCAGATCCAAGTTGGGGTCACCAGTGATAACAGTACGTGCGGAGAAGTCGACTCGTTTTCCCATTAAGTTGCCCCGAAGCCGACCTTCCTTTCCTTTCAGACGCGCACGGATTGCTTTTACTGGTCTCCCAGATTTTTGAAGTGCTTGCGGTATACCGGCAATGTCATTGTCCATGTAAGTCGCAACATGAAACTGTAAACAAGAAGTTACTAACGCACAAGACTACAATAAAGTAAGAATAGATACCTGGAGGAGCTGTTCGAACTCGGTGATGACATGAGCGGGAGCGCCCTCCTGCTCACAGCGCCGTACATTAGCAGACGCCTTGATGATGTCTCCCAATTTATACGTCAGGTCATCCTCACTCCTCATAGTCCCTCCGTCAACGGCAATACTTGGTCTGACTGGAGGCGGTGGAACAGGCATTACAGTAAGGATCATCCACTCTGGGCGGGCGTACTCGTTCGAGAGACCAAGCATATCAAGGTCCGCATCAGAAATCTTCTTCAGAGCAGTGTAGACTTCGTGCGGAGGGAACAATCGTTTATCGGGTTGTAATGACTTCACCTCCTAGAAATACCATCAGTTCAGCGAGGAATACGTCGTCGTCGTACAAACCTCGTCTTCATCCTTGGACCTCTTGTATTGAACGAACAGCTTTAATCCTTCCTTCCGAATGAGAGGTTGTGAGGCGCCACAGCCCCCATGCCCTTTCTTGGTCTCTTCATTGTCCATACCGTCAGCATCATCTTTTGGCTCGTCGCTCTCGCAAGTCATTTTGCTCTTGCAGTGATTCCATACCAAATGCATTCGAGTCTTCGGATCTCGGGCCTGCTCAACCTTCTTTGCGAATGTTGTATCCGACTTATAACATAACGTACGACGAGATTTCGTGCGAGCGTGAATCGACATCATGGGTTGAGGATATGAGGATCAAGACGTCAGCAATAGTTTCTTATCGGCAACAGTACACGGGGCGTGCACCATCTTGCAACAAGTACCACACAATCAACATAAAAGCAACAGGGGGCTACCAGTATCGAGTAGAAAGTGCAGGCCAGCAACGAGCCCCTCTGACTGCGTCACAGCGAGGGCTGCTCGACCATCAGCTCAGTGTGACTCACCGAGTCTACACCTGATTGGTTTTCGCACTCCTCGCTCAGCCCCCCATTTCACCACGCAACCGCGTGTCCAACCAACACTGAGCGTTATAACGGTCCACGCGGCGATCAAGCGACCGAAAACGCGCGCGTCCCACACTCAGGTAGAAGAACGTCTCGATTGTCGAGAACTAACGCAGAGCGGGCTTGGGGTTCTCCATAAGTGCGGAGAGAGCCCCCAGAAAATTGGGTGGTGGGGTGCGAAACGAGTAGAGGAACTAGACGCGACTCACACTAGACGCCTTCAACTTCCCACAATTTACACAAATACACTCCAAAATTTTCTTTACTTTCACGATGAAGCCTGAGAACAGCACATTAGACGGTGAATGCGCGGATAACAATCCTCTATGCGTGCCTGGATGAAACACTGGTCGCGCTAACTCAATGTGACCAAAATGACCCGGACATTCCGACATGCCCTCTCCACATGTCTGGCACTTGAAATTCCGGTCAATCGTGCCCATTCTTGGATCCATCAAACCACCCGACTTGGGTTTGTGCGTTGCCTCGTCCATGACTTCTGGATACTCGATTTTGGCGACAGAATACGCTTTCTATAGGAAAAGGGGGTCAGATATTCCTAACGAAAGAAACTCTACGAAACGACTGACAATCTCTTCAGGTGACAAGATACCGAACTGCACCTCCTTCACCTTGCGGACGGGAGCTGCTGAATATGCAAACTGGTGACCCAACATGGCAAACGACTAGAACGACGAGAACGGATGCTGGGGTATGAAAGCAAGAAAGAAAAAGTTCAACGATGTAAATTAGAGCGTCCAGAGTCTAATCAATGGGAGTAGTGGTCCTCGATGAGGCAGAGGTCGTTTAGGAGGCGTTGCAGCGATTTTTGAGTGCAACACGCAAGCTGAGTCAACCGAGCAAGACGCGGTTCGTGTCCGACCAAGACCCCAGAAAGCAGGAATGCAGTTCTAGCAGCACGGCAGACGTCTCAGACGAGCGGCCAGAGAATATCAGCGAGACGGAGGTCGACGATGGAGGGGGTTGTTGAACAACCCACGATGGGTCACAAAAGGTCGGGCCCGCTGTCCTTTGTCACATCCCGCGTGAAGTCGCGCGGAGTCCAAATTCTCACCAAATTTGGATGTCACATGTCACAATAATCACGACGCGTCGCGCTTGAAGTCCACAGGCTTGCGACAACCGACTCTATCTTCCCAATGACTTCCTACTTCAGTTCGCTTATATGGGGCACGTCTCAAGTCGACGATGCAGTCGGTATGTATTCTATTTTGGTCTGTATGTATTGCTGCTGTACACCTACTGAGATCTCTACAGACAAGGCCACTTCAGAGTTGTTACCCTCTGGTGCCGAGGACATTGCACTGAACCTCGAGATTAGTGACCAGATTCGATCCAAATCTGTAGCTCCTAAGGATGCTATGCGTGCCCTTAAACGACGACTCAACCACAAGAATCCAAATGTTCAGCTACTAACACTTGGAGTACGTGTCCTCACCTACATCTCGTGCGCAGCAACTGACAACAGCCACCTAGCTCACGGACACTTGCGTCAAGAATGGCGGAGATCCGTTTCTAGTGGAGATTGCATCCAGAGAATTCATGGATAATCTTGTCTCTATACTGAGAATGCCAGTGTTGAATCATGACGTCAAGAGTAAGATCCTCAGGCTTGTCCAGAACTGGGCCCTCGCATTCGAGGGAAAGTCTAGTCTTACTTACGTGGGGGACATTTATAAAGCATTGAAAAATGAAGGCGAGTTCCGTCATCCAGTGATTCTCTCCTATGGCCATTAACTCAGCGTAGGCTTTAACTTCCCACCTCGTGATTTTGCTGTGGCTAGTTCGGCTATGGTGGATACTCAGACAGCCCCAGAGTGGATTGATTCCGATGTCTGTTTGCGTTGCAGAACTGCGTTTACGTTCACCAACCGCAAACATCATTGTCGGAATTGCGGACAAGTCTTCGACCAACAGTGCTCCTCCAAAACAATGCCTTTGCCTCATTTTGGTATCACGCAAGAGGTGAGGGTGTGTGACAGCTGCTACACTAAGTTAAACAAGAAGTCGAACAAGTACGAAATGCATTTCGAGACTGACAAGTTCAGCTGACATGTATCCGCTTTAGGATCCATCGGCCGTCTCAGAGCCTTTCAAGCTCTCGCCATAGGTCTGCCCGAGACCTCGCTGATGCGGAACTACAACGCGCTATTCAATTATCTCTGGAAGAAGTTGGTGCAGCAGGTGGACGTCGACCTGGATATGTTCCATCTCCCTCCTCATGGCAATCTTCCGAGCCTCCTCTAGTCGATCGGAAAACACGCCCATATGCAGGCTCGTCTACAATACGAGATGAGGAAGATGACCCAGACCTCAAAGCCGCTATTGAGGCAAGCCTGCGCGAGGCTAGCGCACCCAAGCCCAGTGCCCCTTTCAGTATCGAGACACCGACATCCGAACAACCATCGTCATATGCCAACGGATATGGGTTCCCTCAGTCTTATCCTCCATCTTCTGCTACGCCGAAGCCGAAGGCTCTTACTTCGCCAAATTACGATCTAGAGCCGTTGGAGGCCGATGCGATACTGACCTTTAACCAGACGGTTGGACAAGTTCAAGCCCAGGGTATTACAGATTTGTCTAGGTATCCTGCGGTCACGGAGCTATACGATAAGGCTAGCGCTCTGAGGCCCAAGTTAGCCATGAGTCTCAATGACACAGGTCGAAAAGAACGTGCGTGTACTCACTGATCAGTAACTTGAAGTTTTCTCACCGTTCGGCCATAGAGGCCCTCCAAGAGATGCATGAGAAGCTTTCACAAGCTGTCAAACTGTATGACAACCTCTTAACTGAACAGGTTTCGCGCCCAGCTTGGAGATCCCCTTCTACCGTACCGTCGACCAGTTATCAGCATGTAAACGCTGGCTACGCGCCTCAGTATCGACCGGCCGATGGTGTTTACGGACAGTGGGCAGCGGAACCCCAGGCACAGACACCGGTGTCTCCTCGAACGCAAGGACAATACCGCGCTCCTGAATCCTCATATTACGACTCTTCGCAGCATGAGCCCCGAAGCCCGGTCTCAGCTGGGACTTACACAGCGTCTGTGGGGCTTTCCTCTTTAAATGCACAGAGGCAAACTGCTGGGCTTGAGCCTCAGCAGTTTGGTTCATCCTCCCTGCCTCTGTCATCGGCTTATCAGCCACTCGCTCGATCACATACTGTTGCGGCGCACCCTGCGCATGCCCCACCTCCACCCCCATCCACCTACCTCCACCGACACAATACGACTTCGCATGCTCCTCAGCAACTTCATCAGCTACAGCAACTCACCACTCCTCCTCAGTTGCCGAATTTCCCAGTTGCGCCTACGGTACTCCCTCAACAATATTCTACATACGAGTCGCCTGCGCCTTCAGTAGCTGAGTCTGAGAGGAAAGAGGCTTTATTGATTGATCTCTGAGGTATACTTTTACTGGTAGAGTAGAGTGTAGTGCGACGTAATGCGGTATGCTTATGATTGTTTGATGCATGTATGTCTTCTATAGCGTGTGCTATTCGTTTGAAATATCATCACGAGTGACCCTGTTATTTCATTTCACGTATGTAGCACATTGGCAAGAGACAGCATGACCATCTTCAAGCTTGAAGCTCTGCTCCGGCGAGCGTCCCGGATATCGACTCAATGTGATGTCGCGGCGTGCACGCAGCGGGCGCCTGCCCTGGCGCCAACTGCAATGGCGTAGTCGCGCTCTGCCCTCTCGCAACGCCGACAAACTACGTACCTATATTCGACGCAGTCGCTTCCTGCGGCAGCACCTGCTGCAAACTCACCCACCCCATATCTGCATTGACGGAATCCCAAGATGGCATCTGTACCCACCGCGGTCGTCGAGGAGGGCAAGCTGCTCAGTGAGTCGCTGAGCACCGTCAAGATTCAGGTCCAGCAGATGAAGAGACACCTGGTGACATGCTTAAACTCTTATGTTGTGAATATGAACATCCACCTTACACTCTTTCCGTATGCAGGAATTGGACCAACTCATGGACGCGCTGAAGGCCGCAAGTCTTATGTTGGCCGAGTTGCGAACATCTTCTCTTTCTCCCAAACAGTATTATGAGCTGTGTAAGCCTGCTCCACTGTCATACCGGAAGTCTGTTCTCATTGTTTGCAGATATGGCTGTCTTCGATGCTCTCCGTCACTTATCCAACTATCTATACGACGCCCACACTCAGGGACGACACCATCTTGCCGATCTGTATGAACTTGTGCAATACGCTGGCAACATCGTACCCCGTTTGTACCTTATGATCACCGTTGGCTCCGTTTATATGTCCGTGCCAGATGCGCCTGTGAAGGAAATTATGAAGGACATGATGGAGATGTCGCGTGGAGTGTTACATCCTATCAGAGGACTGTTCCTTCGACATTATCTCAGTGGGCAGACTAGAGACCATCTTCCTTTAGGGGATGACCCAGGGTTTGTACTTCTCTGTCTATGTGTGACTGTGACCTTACTAGTTTTCAGACCTTGCGGTAACCTGCAAGATTCAATTACATTCGTCTTGACCAACTTCATCGAGATGAACAAACTCTGGGTTCGGCTACAACATCAGGGCCATTCTCGCGACCGCGAGAAACGCGAGATGGAGCGGAAAGAGCTGCGTATTCTCGTCGGCACAAATCTCGTCCGATTGAGTCAGCTTGACGGGGTGGATCTCGAAATGTATCAAACAACTATCCTGCCCAGCATTCTTCAGCAAGTAGTCAGCTGCAAGGATGTCATAGCTCAAGAATATTTGATGGAAGTGGTTATACAGGTACGAGAAGAATTGTGTTTTACTTTGCGGCCAGGATTGACAGGCCTCGTTCAGGTTTTCACCGATGAGTTCCATCTGCATACTCTAGGGCCATTCCTCTCTGCGACTGCACAGCTCCATCCGAAAGTAAACATCAAGCAAATCGTTATTGCTCTTATTGACCGTTTGGCTGCATATGCTGCACGAGAAGCGGAGAGCGAAGACCCTGAAGAGACGAAGAAGCAAGAGGAGGCCGCCGCACGTCGACTTGCTGAAAAGGTTAGCGTTCAGAAGGCGAGATTACGGCAGAACGGCCATCAGAACGGCTCGACCACTCCCATAACAGAATCTGTTACACCCGGTAGTCTTGAATGGGGATCGGCGCCAGAGAGCCCTGTCGCGGACACTATCCCGGAAAAGGACCTCGAGACCGCCTCAAGCACGGTTAACGATGCGGAGGAGCCAGAGAGCGAGAAGAGCCTGAAGGGCAAGGAGAGGGCCGATCAAGGGGTTCGTAAATTCCGTGGAGTGCCCGAGGATGTTAAGCTCTTCGAAGTGTTCTGGCAACAGGTCGTGGAGTTGATTAAAGTCAGTCCGATCCCTCTTACTTAAAATAGTACGCTCAAAAGCTCCCTCAGGCACGACCAGATTTGTCGATTCAAGATATCACCGCACTTTTTGTATCTTTGACTAACCTGTCTCTGAGTTGCTACCCAGACAGGCTCGAATATGTGGATCAAATCTTTGGATTTGCACACGATAAACTCAAAGAGTTCACAGACAAGTACGTACTTGTGTTGGGCGTGTGAATCTACGCGCTCATCCCAATCTCTCTTCTAGCCCGGACCTTCACTCGCCTCAGACTACGGCAAATCTCGCATCCCTTCTAGTTGCCCCAATCAATTCCTACCAGTCTGTTCTGACCCTACTCGCGCTTCAGCGCTATTCCCCACTACTCACACTCCAGCCCTTCTCTACCCGACGTTCGCTCTCGCATGCTCTTATTTCATCGGTGCTCAAGAACGAGACCGTCATTGAAACCCCCGAGGATGTAAACGGAATCCTCGAGCTATGTCACGTTCTCATTCGAGACCAGACAGATGCGGCTGGAGGTGGTCAGCCGGGAGCAAAAAGAGCTCAATATTATCATGATCGCGAGGAGATGGGGGAAGAGCAGGGTTGGGTTGCGCGCATGGTGCATTTATTCCGTGCAGAGTCGCTTGACGTGCAATTTGAGGTGCGTGCTATGTTCTTGTTGCATACATTGGTGATCGAGCGCTAGATTCTACAGCTGTTGCAAACGGCACGCAGACACTTCGAGAGTGGTGGCGAGCGGATGCGTTACACATATCCCGCGCTTATCACTGCCACTATCAAGCTTTGCCGAAGATATAAAAATCGGGAACATCTCGTGAGTTGACCGTACTCTGGCTCGCCATTATTCCTTATACCCAGCGCTGTAGGAGGATGAGTGGCAGACCAAAGTATCGACCATCCTCAAGTTCATTAGGCAGCTCATCTCTATTCTGGGTTCCACAGTTGAGGCGCCCACGATTGCCCTCCGTCTGTTCCTTCTCGCTGCACAAGTCGCCGATGAGTGTGGCTTCGAGGACCTCACATATGACCTATATGTACAAGCATTCACCATCTATGAGGACAGTATATCAGAAAGCCGGGCGCAGTTGCAGGCCATCACCTTGATTATCGGCACTCTGCAAGGCGCGCGCGTGTTCGGTGTCGACAATTACGACACATTGATCACGAAGGCTGCATTACACAGTGCAAGACTTCTCAAGAAGCCACATCAGGCGACTGCTGTGAATCTAGCCAGCCATCTCTGGTGGCAGGAAGTTCCTTCAGACGAGGAAATTCCTGCAGCTTCGGACGCGGATAAGGCATCTGCCTTAAAGGACAAGGAGGTTGGCGATGAGAACACTACCAAAGCGGTATGATCCTCAGTTGTCGTTTTTCTACCTGCATTTATGTCTCTTTTCGCGCCAGTATCCTCACCAAGATAGCAAGCGCGTACTGGAATGTCTACAGAAAGCACTGCGCATCGCTAACTCTGCGATCGAAGAGATTGTGACAGTTCAGCTATACTGCGACGCACTCGATCGGTATCTATACTACCTCGATCGTGGTGCCCCGGCGGTTAGTGATTCATGCTCTCTGGGGTAGTGTCCTCATGTTTATGATACCTTTAGGTGACACCCAAATTCGTCGACAGTCTCGTGGATCTCATCACATCTGCCATCGACAACATCGCGTCGCCAGACGTCCATCCTTCGCAGCGCGCACCTCCTGGCCTTCTCGAAGGCGTACAGACGCCAGACATGATCGCCCGCCACTTCCGCAATACTCTCATCTATATTCAAGCTAAGAAGAACGCCGCGAGCAACGCAGAGGGTAGCGCCGTGGCTTCAAGGTGGGACGATGTCGACGTGGTAGGTGCGATGCTGAAGATGGGGATCGGTGCCCGATAGTCGCGCTTCTCGGACTGGTATTAGTGCATGTATATATGCTATAGTGGTTGCACATAATGTCTGTACGTATTCCCCTTCCTTCTGAGTGTGCGGCATGGCAGGCTCCACTCAGCAGACAGATGCATGGCGTTTTCTATGCGCAATTAGGTTCAGGCAGTGGATCGGCTGATCCTAGTATAGTACCGTGCTGCTGCTGGCAGTAGGGTAAAATCTTGGCAGCACAAAACTATCGGAAAATCGACATAAATACTTTACTTGTCTAAAAATCTAGGATGCGCAATAGCCTACGTCAATTTCCCTGGCTCTCTGCCAAGACCGGAACCTTCAGCTCTGGTCTCCGGTCAATCGTCTTGCGGACGCCATCCAAGTCAGGATGTCTCGCAAACTCTGGGTTCTGCTGTCGACCCCATGAGAACAAACAGTGTTACTGCATCTAGACACGCACCTTGTCCCCTTTCAGCTCACTCTGGACCACTGCCGCTATCACAAAGGCAGAGCCGATCGCAACGAGCGCTATGCCCTGCACGTTTGGTCGAAACTGGCCACGCTGCAAATCGTGCAGCGTCGCATAATATCTCCAGGTGCCCAAAACCATGGTCGTTACCCCCGTCCCTACAAGCGTCCCCGCCAGCTGTCGCCCATGCTTCACCTGCTGGTCGTGCAGTCGCTGGCTCTCCGCGGATGCCGGTGCCAGCTGCGACTTCAGGTCTGCGCGGAACCTCTCGAAGCGTTCGACGCCGATCCCAAGCCCGATGAGTCCGAGCGATGTGCGTGCCCACGCCAGGTACGTGCGTTCGTTGGCAAGGTGGTCGCGCGCTGTGGAACCTGCGTTGTCCACGCGCTCGTAGCCGCGGAAGATCAGACGGCCCAGACGGGTGAGCTCGTTCTTCATGGGGTGATGGCTACTTGCAAAGGACAGAGGTCTTCAAGGGAGGTGCTTGGGTCGCGAGAGCTGGACGATACAGACATAGTGGGACGAAGATAGATGAAGGAAGGGCGCTAAACCAGACGGAAGGAGTTATCAACATAGCAACACCTCCGTAAATGGCCGACTGTACGAGCCTCGCTGTCGCTTGTTCGGGATCAGTATCTATATGGGGTATAGAAGGTCAATGAAGCTTGCTATTAGAAATGAAGTCTCCATAAGCTCTTGCGGCACCTTCTACACGCTCGTAGTAATTATAATCGATACAGCACATATTTACAGTCTCTCGTGGTTGAACAGGTCCCTTGGAAAATGTCTTCTAATACATCCCTAAGATTTCATAAGCACGTCTAGGGTATGAGTACATCTGCTAACCATCGTGGCGGTCAAAAACACAACCGATGGCGACTACATATTGTGGCATTAATGGGAGGTCCGCTGCAGTCACCAACTGAGCCCAGACCAGCTGGCGATTCTCTTCCGAATTTCGGAACCAGCTCTCCTACGCTCGTCGGCGGCTCCGCCGTTTCCGAGGACGGACTTATTCTCGATGGCACGTCTGCTCAGGTAGGGCATCACCTAGATTCGTAAAGGTCCGCGTGACATTCCAATAGACCCAACGAGTTTTGTACTCACCTCCGCTAGATTGCCGTAGGGAATATACTTCATCACGAAAGGTGACGCACACCGAGTCCGACTGACAAGGGAGTCCGTGAGGGCATCACTCATACCTACATGGGGTTCAACCACGACATAAGATTTACATCCAAGAGGGGTGCGCACCATACAATTGCCCAATCGCAACCCTCTCCGTGACGGTCTCTGGCACCCACGTTGTAGCGCCAGTAACACTCGCCAATCCAAGCTTGGCCAGCTCGCTCAGGATCAATTCGCAGCTATTCCAGTTATGCGTACCAAAGAGGATGCCGAGCCTCGGGGAGCCGTCGGCCCGGGCCGCCTTGATATCAGCACGAAGATGTTCCAGGAGCAGTGTCGCGCAAGCATTATAGCAGGTATCGGTCTCGTCCTTGGTAGACCAAACTGGTGGAGCCGGATCCGGCGAGATGGATTGCGAGTATCCATAGGAGGAAATTAAAGTGGATGTGGATGTCCGAGTTGACATTGCGCTAGCATGTGCAGCCATTTCGTGCGGGTGGTATGCGCCGCGGACGAGCTTAACACCAAGTGAATATCCCTCTGCACGAGCAGCTGCGAGGCTCTGCTTCAGGTACTCTGGTGTTCTATACGCGGGTAAGACTAGTGGTAATTAGAATACGGGGGATGGACTGACCGCCTTAGGTACGCCTGATAAGTCTGGTACACCAATGGCTGGACAGCGGACGTATGGAGAGTAGGATTTCCAAGTCGGAACCAGGAAGACGACGGAAGTCGGTTGAACTCGCGTTGGAGTGATAGCGTGAATGCATCAATAGCAGGCTGAGAGCAGTAGGACAATTATTGACGGTGAGACGACACGAGACCTTTGTAAACGCATACCTGGTACCAACTGAAGCGAATTATAAATAATTCCGCTGTGAGTCCACTACCACCGCTCAGGATAGTACGACTGACCTATACTCTGCATCAACAATGATCTTCACACCGTGTTCTCTGGCTCGCTTGCAGATTTCTCGAAGATCATCCCGCAGCTCTCGGAGGTCTGCAATGTCAGAATCGGTAAGGAAGCTGTTGGTGGCTGATCGACTGGAAAGCACATCGAAGTCCGACGAAAGAGGACGACCGGGGAAGGCGACGCTTGGCGAGGACTTGGGACGCGTGGACACCAAATACTTTGAGAAATGAACCAGTGCCTCAGTACGGGGCAGCATGGCACTCTAAATCTATAGTGTTCATATACAGATTCATGAATGAACATGGCGGAGACCTCACCATTTTGACGGCCACCCACGTCTTGCGCCCGCGCATGTCGGAGCCGTGATGCGAAGAGTACTTATTCTCAAAATCCGCGGCGACATCTATGCAATGCAGAGTCTCGGTAATAATTTGCTTGTGTGTAGAGAGCTTCGCATGTTTGTCGTCTTTCGCGGTGCCGGAGGCTTCATCTTCGTCAACTTCGACGCTATAAGCAAAGAGACAGCCCTTATTCTCCGCACGCAGCTGCTCGAGGAGGGGAATAGCATCCTCCGCCGAGTCTGCCCCCACAAACTAGCCGTCGGGTTGGTTTTGGATTCGGAAAGGCATGTATTGCGGAAACACACCTGATCAAAGAATGTAACACGAACAACAGCCTGTGCAATCTGTCTTATGCCGGGAAGAGAAAAAAGCACAGACAGAATGGTTGGAGACCAGTCTACAATGGCAGGCACCGAACAGATTGAGTAGACAATATAAGATCGGACCAGAGCAGACAGAGGCGTTTGCGGTCTGGCCGACTCTGACCGCAGGTTATCAGACTGCTCGGCATCGGCATGGATAGGACTAGTGACATTTCCAGCCAGGAGCGAGGTGGCGAGGACAGCTCCAGTAATCAATCCGACACGGGCCCTGTGCGATGCCCGCAGAGCAGGACGAGAAGACGAGACGAGGGTGCGAGCATGAAAGAGGGCGGTAGCGGATCTGAAGGGAGGAAACGGACGAGTTGCTAGTCTGAGGAGCATGGGGAGCGATGCGCAGGAGGAAGGAGACTGCTAGAGATGATTGCTAGCCCGCCAAATTCATATCGGACGGCCAGGCGGGGGGCCAGCGGGTCTCGGACCATGGCATGGCGGGCGCGAGGCAAGGCACACCCGTGAGCTCCGCGTCCGGCGCGCGGGTTCGCTGTCGTATATCCTTGCTCTCCTCGACCATGGCAAAACGAAAAAATCAGCATCCAGACAACCTCGATTCGGACGACGACGACGACAACGACCCGAGTGAACGCGTATGTCTCTCCGTTTCTCTCTCCTCTCCGCCCGCCTCACCCATCTGGCCCCAGTAGAGTCTCGTGAATGTCGACTTTGACTTTTTCGATCCACACCCCGATGTCGATTATCTCGCCCTCAAACGCCTCGCCACACAGCTTTTCCAAGCCGACGCCGAACTGTTCCATCTCAATGACCTCGCAGACCTGATCCTATCTCAGCCTCTGGTTGGTACGACCGTCAAATGCGATGGCAGGGAAAGTGATCCGTACGCGGTCCTCACCGTGCTCAATATGCACATACATCAGGTCCATACAGATGCTGAGCCTTGACACGCACACATTACTTACTTTCAAACTAGAATCGACCTGCTATCAGAGCTCTCACTGAGTACGCTCTCGCCAAATCGTCCGTCGACCCCGCTTTTCACGCCATCCTCCAAAATCTTCTCGGCCCTGCGGGGCTTGCATCTCAAAATCACGTCGGACTGATTTTTTCAGAACGACTTATCAACATGCCTGTTCAAATCGCCCCACACATGTACCGCATGCTTGCAGACGAAATCCAGTGGGCCTTAGATGACGTGCGTTTGGCTACTTTGTGAAGCACGACCTGTCTGAGATGCCTTCCGTGCATGCAGAACGAACCGTACCGCTTTACACACCTCCTTTTCATCTCCCGGACGTACCACCTGTCCCCCGAGGAAGAAGCCGAGATGGCGGGACCCGCACCTCGCGGCAAACGTCAAAAGCAGGGTGCGGCGCCCCCACTACAATCGTCAACGAGCGGGACATATCCATTCCACCCTGAGGATGATGTTGTCAAAACTGTACGTGCTCATTACCGTCCTGTATGACGAAGGTCTTCATGTCCCCATAGATTGCGCTGCATACGCTGGACTACGCGTTTTCCAAAGCACAGCCTCGTGAGGAGGACGCTTTTGGGCTAGACATGGGCGGGCGCATGATGCTAGTATCTGCGGACCGATTAAGAGAGCTTGTCAACGGTCTCAATCAAGCCTATCCTCCGCCTTCTTGACATGATCACGATAAGATTGACAGAGGTCGCGAAATGTATCTATTTTTTGTATCAGCCGCAACAAAAAAAAACAATCCTTTCGTTGCTCAGTTGACACATCTCCGACGCTATTGCAAAAAAGAGCATGATATCTTTGCCGTGAGCAAAAATCCGTCCTGAGGGAGTCTAATAAGTTTGCTGTAGCTAACAAGGGTTCTATATACGATTCTTCGGTTGCACGACATTAAATTACTACCTTCAAGGTACCTTATCTTGCGGCAATGCTAATAGTATTGTCGGTAAGACCTATTTTGCAAGGTGGTAAGAGGGCCGACACTCCTGGATTATCTCGAAGTGCAGATAGCTGAACAGTCTTGTGGCTGCTCCCCGCAACGTGCACACACCCGCAGTCAAACAAGCTCTCATACGAAAGCGTTCAGGGGTCGTGGCATCGCTCAGCATGAAATGAGGCCAAGGTCCTCGACTGGCAACTCCTACAGGTATTGAAGGAGCGGGGTGCGAATGGTAAGTCTACAAGTATCTGGTTTCGAATACCGACTGATCATTTGGATACAGTAATTTCGGTGGTAGCTGGCCCCAATGTTCAAGGCGAGCGCGGTCGGCATACTGTTGGCACGAGCGCGGTAGTGCTACTGAGTAGTGGTCTTGAGCAAGCCCTTGCTCACTTGAAAGTTGAATTTATGATCGGTTCTAACCCCCCTGTTGCGTATAGTGCTGTGTATACATAGACCTCTGTACCGGGTTGAGCACAACGCCGATCGACAATGTCTCCGAAGGCAGCTTATCTTGCAATTGGTCCCACTCAGCTCTATACGCCGGTCCATGCTCATCACTTGATTTCTACGTGTATTTATTTCTAATGACCACACAACCTCTAAATATGCTAATCAGTCACGAGCCTTGCAGATACATACTGGACCGTGAGGGATTAATGCGGACATTGGTTGATACAATGAATCCTTTATGAGTCTATTGATACGACAGTACAACGACAGAGCAAAAATGACAATACAAATTGACAGTAGGTATTACAAGGGTTTTTCATGCTCCTACGAGCTCTCTAAACTCGACGCTCCATTCTCCAGACTTCCTAGTACCTTCCACAAACGCATCGAAGCGTGGGTTAGATCCCGGTTGGCTGATCTTGCTGAGTGCTGCGACAGCTCTAAGTGTGCTCCTTTGCAACTCGGCAGCGCGCTCAATGTCTTGCTTGACGGTGTCCTTCGTGACCGTGGCGCCTTTCATGCTCTTCTCCAGGGGCTGAGTGATGTCATCGAGTCGCTGAGCAACTGCTGTCGGTGCGACCTGCGACAGTCGGAACAGCATCATATGGCAGATGACCTTGACCTCATCAGAGTCATCCGAAAGCCCAGCAAGTACGCGCCCAATGAATTCGTGCAGGTCGAGCTTTGTCAAACAAGTGTCCAGCTGCAATCGACGTGAGCAATTTGCATATTTATTGACGTGCAAGATATACAAACCAGGGTATAAAGCGTCTCGTGGGCTGTCTTTCGAGCTTCCAAACCATCATCCACTTTGTGCGTCCAGGGCCCCATTTGGACCGTACGGATGAGGTCTTGGTTGATGTGAGTCTCCTTATACAGGTTGGGAAGGATAAATTGTAGCTGATCACGGATGAGATGTGGCTTTAGACGAGCCGCAGAATTCAACGCTGATAATGCCAAACGTCGTACGGTCTGCATTTCCCCGTATTAGCAAGATGCATTGGGTATTTGACAAAAGCACTGACCAGGTCGGCATCAGTAATCAAGGCCAGGAAATCCATGAGAACAGAGCTGAGGAGCTCGTCATACGAGGGGGACGTCTCTGAGAAGGTATACCTAATCGCGGATATAACAGTTGCTCGTGAGGCTGGATTTGCATCACGAATGCGTTCCTAAACACAGTCTTAAAACAACTTTAGCAACAAGGACAGATGGATCGCTTACGTGAAGCTGAGGCAGGTATCGTGAAGGATGTGTGGTGGTAAGCTTGCCGAGACACGCTGCAGCAACATTTCGTGTTGTCTCTTCGGAATTGTCAGAATTCTCGAATAATGGCACCCAAAGAAGATCTGCAACGGTTTCAAGTTGACCACGCGAGCAGTGGGTAACAACCTGCGAGTAGTGATAAGCGAACATCAAGAGAGCCACGTCGCTACGTACCTCCTTCAGGGCATGAAGAGATAGCAATCGTTTCTCTTGGTTGCTTTCAACAATTTTGACGATAACAGGGAGGAAATGATGCAGGTTTCCCACAGCAACGTTCCCTGAAATCATATCAGAATATGATACTCAAAACACTGAGGTCCCTTACCAGCTGCGAAAGCGGCAGCAGTTCGGATATCTTCTTGCTCGGCAGTAAAGCGCTCAATGATCTGAGAGAAGATGTTGCCTTGTAAGGTCATATCGCTGAGAATATTGTAAGTTCAATTGCACATGAATGAAGCAGAGACACACATAAAACGACCGATTTCCCCCATAACGAGAAGGCTCAAGACTACTTGCGACGTCCTTGCTTTTGAAGACGGCTTAAGAAGAAAAGACAAATAAGTCAAAGTATGGATGGGCCTCTTCCAGTCGATATACCTTCAGATGTTTCGAGAACTCAGCAACAGTGCCGGCAGCGACACCTTGTTGGCTCTTGGCAATCTGGCCGATGCACCGCGCCACATTCGACTGCGATATTTCACCCTTGGGGGCCTTCTCAAGAGAGTTAACGAGGTTAGGAATAACATGTGTCGCAACTTGCATATCAGCCTCCACAAGAGCGGCAAAAAATGCTAGCACTGAATCAAATGCTGCGCCGGCAACGAGTGGAGAGTGTGCAATGTCATATATATCGAAAAGGATTTCTGTCTCTACCTCTGGATAGGTGGTAGACGGAGACAGCTCCAGAAGAAGAGCGATCACTGACAACGCTTGCGACATCAATGAGATATCGGAAGTATTGATATAGCCCTTGAATGTAGGAATAAGGCCGGCCGGAAGATCAGCCGGTAGCCCCGTCTTATATCTATGTGTCTTCTCAGAACTTGAGCAGAGAACGGCAGGGATGAGACAAACCTTCGTAGAAGAGCATCCAGACAGTTGAACATATCACTCTTGCCAGATCTTCCACTCTTCTTAAGCAGAGATATGACCCATTGTACGCATCCATTCACCCAGTTTTGGTCAATATCGACCTCTCGAGCCACGCGCGTGACTACTTGAACCGCGCCATCCGTACGTCCCGTCGTCCTACACATCGCCTCCCATTCCTTCCTGTCCTTGTTCTTCACAACATCAAATGCGCATATCCACAAATCACCTATGCATATTTCAGCACACGACCTCACCTCCGCATCCGTATCGTGGTTGCTTAATCTCTGAACTCCCTCGATGTACACGGCCTCAGTCCAGTCGCTGCCTTTCACGGGCTGCGTAGCGTTCAATAGAGAAGAGAAGACGCGGAAAGATTCTGACGCGATCCTTGGGTGTTTCTCTCGAAGCGATTTCAACAAAATTGGCGTGATACTGTCCAATGAACTGGAGAACACGGGCGGGGAGTGCGTTGAAAAAAAGAGCGCGATAAATGACATGCAAGTGATGTGCAGCGCAGATGCATTTGCCTTTGCCGACTGCGTTAAAACTGCCTTCGTCGTCGTAATAATCTGCGGCGCGTAACTCGACAGGGAACCAGGTAAGACGGTCAGCAGGGTATGCAGCAAGGTGAAACCGGCCTGGAGGGTAGCAGGTGAGGTCTTGGGTGACTTCAACTGCGCAAGCAGTGCTTTCGCGAGTGCCGACACTTGCGATCGAAGGAGGCTATATGGTGTTTCCTCAACCTCCATACCTTCATCTCGTTTGCGCTTTCCGCCGATCGCATAGTCGGTGTCTCGGGACTGAGCAACACCGCCGTACACACTGGTCTGCTTCAGGAGGCCAGCATATGTGCTCCATACCTCCACTCGCACTGTTTCCTCACGATCCCCAAATCGTGAAATCAAAACAGGGGATACCTCCTTGTACAATGTGATCAGCAGCTCTGGACGGGTATCTACGATCGCTGCGAACAACTTCGTAGCTGATCGGCGAATCTTGTACGATGTGTCCTCATCGTCCGAATATCTACCCCAAGTCATCATCAGAACACACTGAAAGGAAATGTTTGGGCACGAGCACTAACTCGTCGAGTTCGGCCTCGTCATCGTCGTCTTCATCCGCCATTTCCTCGTCTTCATCATCGCCGCCAGCATAATTCTAATACATATATGGGCAAGAGAATATGCTTGACGAAATTCACTTACAGGATCGTATTTGATCCACTTATTTCCCACTTGGATCGTGGATGAGAGGAACGGTGTAATCTCTGCAGGACAACGCAGGACCAACGCTTCCAATGCCTGGCTTTCCGCATGAGGGCATTCTTGAACGTCATCCGGACACACATACCTGCAAACAACTCTCCTGCAGTTCTTCGTCATCTCGCTCCACTGCTTTGATTATTCCTGGCACTAGGTTTCCCAACACCGGTCCAATTTGGTGCGGTGTGTGGCGAGCGACGGCTGCAATAAGCTGGACTGTGGTGCGCTGATTGTCCACATATGTAGATGACACAAGCTCTGGTAGAATCTTTTTTGATAGCAGCTCTGAGAAGAGTTCAGGACGCGCCGTCGGCAGAAACTGGGCAAGGGTTGTGATAGCGCGCTTGCGTACGGCAGGGCGCGGATGATCGAGCATCGGCGTGAGTACAGACAGCGGCTGTGGTTCTAGCTCAGCACTCGCCACATAAGCGGGAAAGCGAACGATCAAAATTGAAAGAATTGACAAAGTCTCAAGGAGCGTGTCCGGGGGCGTATCCGACTGCAAGCATGACACAATCACGTTAGCCTACGCGGTACTCATGCATGCGCGACGGTACCTACAGCAGCCAATCGCATGAGAAGTTTGGGCGTTAGCTTCTCGCATGCCTTAGCAGCGATTTTTCCTTCTGGTGGTAGCTCAGAAGTAATCGTCTTGAGAGCTGAACTAATGTGAGAGAAAATATGCGTTAATTTATAATCAAGTATACCTAAAGCCGATATATCCCGTAACTCCTCGTCCTTGCCCGACAAGAAGTCGATCAGTCGATCTATGACATTCTCCACCTGGGACTCTCGGATAATCTTGACGAGTTGGCCGATACTTCTAGATCTCAGTGGTCATGTTTAAAAGGATGACTGTAATAGCATACCATTTCACAGCTTGGTTCTTGACTTCAGAAATTTTATCTTCCACGAGTTGTAGCACTTGACGAAGTACTTTGTTCTCTGTAGGCTCATCTCCTAGGAACGTATTGGGATCGTCTTTTACGGCTGCCATGAGATCGCTTAGACCCATGTATCTTGACATTACACGATTAGTCTAACAGTAGCCATAACCACAGTCATCTCAGACAAACCGGAAGTCCTGGTCAGACGATTGCATCTGGAGTGGCGGTAGTAAGTACTAGGGCTCGGATCGTCATTCTTTACACAAGCAGTTACCTTCTCGACAAGACCGTTCATAATATATGTTTTCGTCATGTTGGGCGTAATATAGGGGTAACGTACAAAGTTGAGCGGCAAGAAAACGAGAAAGAACGAGGCCCCGCCGAAGAGTCTTAAGCCGCCCGGGTGGAATCTACTATGTCCATGCAGTCACGTGATGGTATATCGGATGTACGGCTCAGGCTCAGGCTGAGGTAAGTACTAGTAACTAAACTACAGCTGAGGTTTGTTGCAGGAGGTAATTGCCGCAACCTCCTGGAGCGGGGCACAGGACAGTAAGAAACTCAGATTGGTGCAAGAGATCCAGCTCGCGGTACTCAAACACTACGAAACGAAATAACCTGTAAAACATATACAGCCATTCATCCAGCGATATACATACAATGTAATATACAATTATCGATCATGCGCCTTCATTCCCTGTAGTATCCAGCTTAGTTCAAGTGATGATGCGACCTACCACAGTACTTACCTGACTCTAACGTCCATTGATCGTGTCTCTTAATGTCCTCGGAAGTAACTGTCGGTCGAACGTTATCCAATGACTTCAAAAAGTCTCCCACCCTCAGTGGGGGCTCAAGTAGCTCCTCACTCTCCACATCTGACCACGACTTCTCCACGCCATCAGGGTCCCCGGGCGAACACGGTGTCCATTTAAGAACCGTTGCATTGGTGGGAGATGGCACAGACTTAAAATGTGTAGCAGATAGGACTTTGCGAACGGGTTGCATGAGGGCATCACGGACGACGACGGATATATCGGATCCCGAATAGCTGCCCGATGATAGATATTGACCGTCAATATATAGAAATCAGTGTGCACCACTAAAACCATACCCGTCTGTCTTTGATGCAAGCATTTGATAGTCTTTTGCCGTCAGTTCACAAGGGGTATCGCCAACATGCAACTGGAACATTCGCCTTCGTGCTTCAGTTCCTGGTAGAGGAATGTATATTCGCTTCTCAAATCTATCATAAATGGTCAAGTAGTGCCACTGAATTGTGAACAAGCGTACACACCTCCGCTTGATTGCATTGTCTAGTTGCCATGGAATGTTTGTAGCACCAAGGACAAGGACGCCAGTATCGTCGTGACCGACACCGTTCATTTGCACGAGGAATTCTGTCTTGATTCGCCGCGATCCTTCCGACTCCTGCTCGTTGCGAGAACCCGCGAGTGAATCCACCTCATCGATGAAGATGATAGCAGGCTTGTTTTCGCGCGCCATCTCGAATAGCTGCTTCACTAGTCTGTATATCAAGCCTCAGTGTATGATAAAACAGAAATATGACAAAACGAACCTTTCAGAATCACCTTGCCACTTGCTAACAAGGTCGCTGGAGCTGACGCTAAAGAACGTACCCTGGGCCTCGGTCGCAACAGCCTTAGCAAGGTAGGACTTTCCGGTTCCCGGAGGACCATAGAGTAGAATACCTCTCCACGGTGTCCGCTTCCCTGTAAACAAATGCGGAAACTTGATGGGGAGAATTACGGCTTCCTTCAACGATTCCTTCGCTGCTTCAAGACCAGCAACGTCCTCCCACTTAACGTTCGGTTTCTCCGTGATTATCGCGCCCGCCAGGCCGGCTCGTAGCTTCTTCACCTCATCGTCGTCACCGTCTTTCCTATGACAAATTCAAGCGATAGCTGACCTCTTTCAGTGCGATCAGATCGTGGTCGCGACACTCACTTCTTGCCTCCAGGACCTATCCCACCACTCGAGCCATTGACGCCAATGGCCTTCTTTGCTGCCTTCTCTTGCGACTGCGTTAGATGGTCTTTCAAGGTCTCCGCCCGCGCGAGATATTCGACTACTTTCGAGCGGATAAGCTGCTTCGACTTCTCATTCTTCTCATCTGGACAATATCAAGCCTCAACAAGTGGATATTATTCGAAGATGACACACGCACACTTGAGGGCAAGCATGAAATAGTCTAGGGCATTCTGGTATTGTCTGTATGCTTCCGCATAGCTCTGCTTGGTATCTTCTTCAATTGCGCGTTGAACAAGATCAATGGCACGCTAGTTGCATGCAATGAGCTCTCGGCGCACGCCAACAAAACTGTCACTCACATCCAAGTTGCCACTCATCGTGTACGCTCTCTTAGCCTAGCAATGTGCCTGGCAGTGGCGACTAGCGCTACTTTGCACGCAAGCCTGCAACAATTGTTGTGCATTGTTAGAATTCGAGGTCGCAGCATAACACATACAAACAACATCTACGATTGATCAATGGTATCGACTAAGCTGCTCCATAGATTACAGTAGTACAGGAGGTGCATATATTATGGCGGTGCTATGAGCTACAGTCCACTGTCAGCTTCTAGAGCTGAACAGTACACAGCAGTGTGATGTGAATCGCATGACATTGCTAGATCAAAGAAGCACACCGTACGCTCCCTCGTCACCAAGGAACCGTAAACTAAACGAATAGTACATCTACACCGAAATCCAAATCAGATGAACGAGAAAACAGCAGCACATCAACGCAGGATCGCGAGCACCGCTCAAGGACGAGAACAAGAACAACGCGAGTAGATGATGTCCCTGTGTACTGAGAAGGATGAAAAGAAAAACACCAAGCATGGGGCCGTGCCTCCACGATCATGAAACAATTTGGACCTGTGCGTGAGCCATTGCTCGCGCATTTACGTGAACGTGAGTTGGCTTTGGGACCAGATGGCAGACCTCAATGCTCTTCACCCACGGTTGTTCTATGATGTCGTCGATCATGCACCGAAGCTTCGGATTCGGCTCCAGCATCTTCCTAATGACGGGGCGACACGCGCGAGGAGATAAATTGTTGATCGTCGGAGGACAAGACGACTGAGTCTGGCATGCAGAAACATATGCGGCGAACAGGGGGTCACTAGACTGAGCGACCGTCCAGGGGAGTTCTTGGAAGTGTAGGCAGTAATAAACAACGCCGCACGCCCAAATATCGACAAGGCGGGCGTCATAAGCTAGCCCATCCCAGTCAGGTGCATGGACAAAGGATCCATGGTCATATGCTTACGTTTGCCCAAAAATTGCTCTGGAGCGATATACGGTTCACTTCCGCACAATCCAGTAGACATGTGTACGGTCTTCTCCCAAGGTAGTCGATAGACAGTTGACGCACCGTAATCACCGATCTAGAACAATGAGGTCAGTAATAGCACGGACCCGAGTATGACGACACATACCTTAAGGTGGCCCTTCATATCGAAGAACAGGTTTTCCGGTTTTAGATCACGATGAGCGACGCCCTGATTATGCAAGTACTGGACCCCGGTCAAGATCTGTCTGAAGCAGCACTCGACTTCGCTCGGCGACATGCCTCCTCTTTTAATAGCCGCGTACAGGTCTCCACCTGGACAGAACTCCATCACTTCGCACCAATGCTGACTCTCGTCCTGCACAAGGTCCACAGTCTCGACAATATTGATATGATGAAGCGTCGAAGATATGCAGAACTCGGCGGTGAGCTTCTTCACATATTCCTTTTCAGTCTCGTTCTTTCTCCGTTTCCGGAATTCCTGTCATACTAGGCTAAGTATGTGTCGTAACAACTAACTAAATGCGTACCTTGACAGCGTATAGCTTCTCTTCGCTGCGATCCCACTTATGCGCGAGTCGCACAACGGAGGTGGCTCCTTTACCAATTGCAACCTTCTCACACACACCGTACTTCTTCAACAGACTGGTGGTGCTATCTCCAGCGGTTGAACCGCGGTCGGAGCCGGACTTCTTGCTACTGGCTGTCGACCGTGCTGACGACTTCCTCACCAGCTTAGGAGCCTCGAACAACGACTTGACGGTGAGCTTCCGGCTACTGCCATCAGATTGTGAATGCACAGACGCAGGCCGAGAAGCCGGGACAAATGCCTTGGCAGTAGTCGCAGAATCAGGTTCGGCGCCACTGGTAGATGAAGGAGATATCCGCAAAGCCGTGGACGGAGGCTGCTCCTTCGACGGCTGTAATGCAGCATTGAGCTTACCGCCAGAGACACCAGCGGACATGCTAGCCGCTCTGCTAGGCGGCTGCGTCGAGGGCAAGCTCCAGCTTTCGCTTTCAGAAGCAGAAAGGGAATCGCTCGAAGAAGGCGTCATCGAGCCCGTCGTAGACGAGTAGTCGCGGCAAATGACAGGGGAGTCAAATTTCTCCGAACTGTAAATGTCTTCGAGGCTCTTCCTTGTGTGACCCGGTGCCTTCTGATAAAGGTGTGAATCTGGAGGAGGGAGAGGAACGTGGTGGCCGTTGGAGGTCACGGGCTTGCCACTGGATGCCACAGACGTGGTCTGCTTTGCAGGACGTAGATGGCTTGTTCCGTTGACTCGCGATTTGGTGGAGGTAGAAGAGACGCGTTTGGAGGACGGTATGTCGCCATGCGGCGGTTTGTCAGAACCGTCGGGGCCGTCGCCCTCAGTCTGCGCGGTTTCGGCGGCATCGACCATTGTCATAAGAGGAGACTGAAATTGGGATGTGCTCGTGAGTGTTGTGATGTTAAGAGAAAATGCGACAGGGGGGCCGGAGGGGGATGTGATGGGTGTTGGAGGAGGCGGAAAGTCGTGGGCCGGGGGATCGTTTATTGGGATATCATGACGACTACCACGTTGAAAGGGGGGGGGCAGCGTGAGTCGAGGTGGTGGGTGAAGGGTAGCGAGAGGGCGTAAGAGGGGACAACCCCCTCGCTGGTGCCGTTAAGAAACGGCTGGAAGAAGGAGGAAGGGATGCTGGGAGCGGACGGCGAGCGCTGCGATGAGATTTGAACCGGAGCAAGGCGTTGCTGCGCCACCCAGCCAACCTTTTTATGGATGTTATGTAAGCCTCGACCCGGCCGGGGTCCGGGACCTGGCCCGGCGAGCGGCGATGGCCACGTTCTGTCCTCGCCCGACCGCCCGGAATAATGAGAATAGACTCGAATGAGTGTATATCCCAGCGTTCTTACAACACGAGGCAACGGCACAGGCGTGGCCTGCAGCGGATCCGAATCTGATAGAAGCGATTCATCTCCCACTAACGAGACATCTCATGTGCAGAATGATCAAGGGAAGCACGCCTGCTAACACATTTCCCCTCTCGGAATTTCCGCGATAAGGGAGCGGTTTTTGCTATGGGCACCTTGCTCCGTTTCTCAGATGAACCCAGCCCTGTGTTAACCTCAGTGGGACTCCTCCACGCCCTATCCCCGAGCTTGGCCGGCTAACTGTTGATGTCATGGCGCTGAGAGCAAACGAGAGAAAATACCTCTGTCAGCGCTCCGCCACGTTGGCGTCGGGCGTTCACAGCCTCTCGTCATCCTGACCCTGGTGCAGTGAGCCGGCACTGGTCCATGAACAGCAGACAAAAGGAAATGCTCCACACTGCTGACGAGGACTAAAGCAGGAGCCCATGAGCCCGTCCGACGGCGTGATCGGATGGGCTCGGGACCCGGCGATGGTGACAGCCCCGAGGACACAGGTCGTCCGCACCCGCTTTCACCGCAGTGTCCGTCCTTCATGAGGATATCGACATCGACGGTGGTGAAGTGGCCGCAGGTGAAGGAGATCTTACATAGAGCGGAGGACCGGGACAGCAGAACAGACGGCGGAACAAGCAAGGCACGACCACAATTGTATCAGCGTGTCAAGAATAGCGGCAGAGTCGACCACTTGTCCGCCACAAGTGCACGAGGCACATGTGTGTGCAACAGAGAACGGAAAGATATTCAGAAAACAAAGCGAGGCCGTGCCTGTCCGGTGTGCCGGTGCTATGCAGCTGTAGAGTTAACGTTTCGGCATTGGCCGGGAGGCTGAACTCACGTAAGCTCTCACCACCTTGGGATACCGCTGAGCGAGCTGTCGCTCTCATCGCTATTCCTCAAGACCAAGGTAAGTGCTGTCGCTGCAACGCCCGATATCTACGACACAGGTTAACACCTTGATGCTAATTGCTGTCCTTCTGCAGACACCATGGTGAACCTCCGGTCCCAAAAGCGCCTCGCCGCCTCTGTCGCGAGCGTCGGCAAGCGCAAAATCTGGCTCGACCCCAATGAGCAAGCTGAAATCGGTAACGCCAACTCCCGCACGCACGTAAAGAAGCTTATCAAGGATGGCCGCATCATCGTCAAGCCTACAACCGTCCACTCACGCGCGCGCACTCGCGACCTCCTTGCCGCGAAGCGCAAGGGTCGTCACACCGGCCCCGGTAAGAGGAAAGGTACTTCTGAGGCCCGGATGCCCAGCAAGGTTATGTGGATGCGGAGACAGCGGGTGTTACGTCGGTTGTTGAGGAAGTACAGAGAGGCGGGCAAGATTGATAAGCACCTGTGAGTGTGGAGTTTTTGTACTGATTCAGAACAAGTTCGAGCTGAGCCACTACGAAGCTATCACTCGCTGTATCAGAAGTCGAAGGGTAACGTGTTCAAGAACAAGCGTGTGCTCATGGAGTACATCCACAAAGCAAAGGCGGAGAAGAACCGCACGAAGGTTCTTTCTGATCAGATGGAGGCTCGTCGTACTAAGAACAAGGTATATTTGTGCTGTACCACTTTCGTAAGAAAGAGCTGTGTTAACAATGATTTCAGGCTGCTCGTGAGCGTCGTGCACAGCGTGTGGCGGAGAAGAGGCAGGCGATCCTTGCCATTGAGCACGAGGCACCCGTTCAGGAGTAAATATAATCATGTCTCACTGTCCCCACCACCACCTACGCCCTTTCACGCCACCTGTATCTTATGCCATGCATGCTTTCGATTCATACATCAAGTCCATGCTCGCATGTTATGTCGTCGGTCTTAGATCCGATAATTCGCCAGTGTATCATTGACTCCTGTGAGGTTGTGCCGATACTACAAGATGTCCATGACTACTTCCACTATGTTTGTAGTCTTGTCCTGATTATCCAGTTGGTATGATCATTTGAAATCAAGCGCAAAAATAGTGTGAAGACATCGTATTCATGCTTGGTCATACGACCGGATTTACGCCGTCGTTCAAATGTTCAACGATGGCCTGACACCTTGTGATCATGGAAATTAATTTCGACAAGGAACAAGAATACGACAAGTAAATGGCGGCCTTCATCGCCTACAATAAAACATGAGCTAGACTCATACACATCTTCTTGACATTCCGCTTCTTCGCCACTGTCTCGACCATTTCTCTCGACACCACGACGACTTCCTCGACTGAATCGTCCTCTTTCCGTCTTCTTATAAGTAAGCCGCATTCATTCAACGCAAACGCCGCGTCGTCGACGCGCAAGTTTGTGGCGCGCGCGATGTCCGTAAGCGTGCATTGCACCACGACATGTGCCGTAGCACTGCCGTCCGGATTTGGCGTCGTTTCTACTGTTCGCAAATTGGTAAACATCGGCTCTGCGATCGCACGTCGTCCCCATGAATTCACACCACACAATGACGGACCGTGACATACCGGCGTCATCGTAGGGCTCTGCAGGACGGCGGCTGGACAGCTCCTCGCCGTCCCAGCCCTTTGTGCTCTTGCGCCGTTTCAACCTTGCCTCTACAGTGTCCTCGGGTTCCGAGGGTGGAGACATCAGATGCGCCTCCGCAAGTTGCGGCACACCGCCCACGGTAATCATTCTGGATGTATCGGGGGGCAGCACAGCCAACAATCGCCTGCAACCCGCTTAATCAGGGCAAGCTCGGACACGGGATGCAGCTACGCACCGAAAAAATCTCACTAGCGTCGATACCCAGTACGTGAGATAACTCCGCAGTCCGAGATCAGACAGTGGACGTTCGGGCGTGCCGATTTTGCCAGTGCGGCGCGAGAGCTCGTAGCCTGCGTTATGAAAGCGAGGCCGCCCCTTAGTGGCGTACCGGGACCCGCGCACTGGTACTTACTGAACTCGATCATAAGCATTCCATAACCTTTCTTCTGATAAGGAGGAAGGACAACAATGCAGGCTAGGTTGTAGTCATCGTAGGATATTTTCTCCTGTAGATATGAAGACGGTCAGCTGCACGTTCCGCCAAATCACTATTTGGCCGTCGACACCTTCGAGAAGAATCCCAGGACATGATCTCGCTGCGAGTCGGCATCTGTCAAGATGTAGAACAAAACTAGAGATGGATGCGCCCTGTTAGATCCCCAACGTGCATGACTGTGAGAGCATCAGCCTACAGTTGTCACAGTCAAAAAACAACGTCTTGATATCGATGAAGAGCTTTCCAAACAAGGAGAGGTTTTGGCAATAGAGCTAAGGCAAGAGACAATCAAAGTTCAGGAAAAGGAGAGATAGTGTCGGCCTTCGCACCTTCTCCTTCGCGCCATCCACTTCCCATATTATATGTGCGCCTCGTTGATACACCTTGCGACCGGGCGGATGTCTGCGGATACACTTCTTCTAATACATCTGGCGCCCATCAGCCCACCGCACGACGACTCGAAGATACACACCCACGACATGCAGCTCCCAGGAGAGGCCTTCCGCCATATACTTGAAGCACTTGTCGCACACCCACAGCATCGCCTTCTCCCCTGTGCCGTTGTTCCGCCCGAGTCCGCCAGCAAGCAAGTCCGAGGTCCGACCATGCGAGCGAAAACTGGAGCGGCTGACGCCTTGGATACGAGAGGACGACGAGGGTCCGTGTGAGCTGGGTGTGGCCAGCTGGTCTTCTGTCTCGGTCTCGGTGAGAGGGTAGGGCGAGAAATACCTCCGTCTGGGCTGAGCCAGGCCTTCGCAAGAACGAGGCCTCGAAAGAGGAACTCACCAGGTCTTGATCTCCCATCGCCCAAAAACGACCTTGTCAAAATTTCTTTTTGCGGTGATCTGCTTGTGGTGTTGAATGTCGTATTCTTCCTCCGTGATGGGCTGAGGATTGCTTGTCCCAGGGCCCAGGGCCCCTGCGAGAGCACCTAAGTGGATGGGCGAGGCTACGCCCGCAGAGGTCTCCCCATCTACGGAGCTCCTCTTCCTCTTGCGAGTAGATCCATTGCTGGCCATGCCTGCCTCGTGGGATCCAGAGGGCCGTACGGCGTCTTGCGATATCCACTCATCAAGTCTCTTGTCGGAATTTACATAATGGACATACACCTCTTCTCCCCGGCGCTCGACGATGTAAGCGTGCTCTGTCCATGCATGAGTTGCTCGGTTATCACCAGACAATAGAATGATATCGCAACTTACGCTCGATGCCATTCTTGCTCACAATGCAGATGTCGTTCTGCTTGTCCATTGGTCCGGGGGTCGCGGGCATGAGGCAGGAATCTTCTCAAGTGTTAATGAATAATTATGTCCCGGGCTGACGCACAGAGTGCCTGAGCTGCGGCTTCAGTCGGAGAGCTTGTAGTCTAAACAGTCTGGCACGCACCCTCCGTGAGGCTGGTCAAGGATACAGATGGTGACGTCGTCGCCGAGGCCGTTAGCGAGGAGGGAATCCAACCAACAGATGTGACTGGCAGCAGAGAAGACTACGACAGCCACCACCGTGGTCGCAACTTTCCAAGTCGCGCTCAGGGAACGCCTGCAATTCATGCAACGTTTAAGAATCTACACACGATGTACAATAGAGTTACTGGGACACTAGGAGCTACATTGACTGTGACGACATGACATCACGTAAAGCGAGGCGAGGCAAACAACCACACAGAACATCATTACGGGACAACGAGAACAGCATGCATATGTATCAAGGACCACAATCCACCGACACAACGAACATGCATAAGAACATAAAAAAGCTGCAATCGGCAGAACCACAAAAAAGACCGGCGACCTCGGCGTTGGTTCCTCGGACCACCAGGATCAGAACGGAGATATTCCAGCGTCCACCGGCCGAGAGATGGACATAAACAGAAATCCGAGACCCAGGAAACCAGAATGAGACCAGAACCCTGAGCTAGCAGTAATCAAATCCCTGCGCCGATGGCGAGACCAGTCGAAGAGTACTGTCCGGACTAAGAGTCGAAAGTTCTGCGGGAAGAACAGGAAATCTTGAACTGAGAGATATGTCCGGAGCATCTTGGCCCAGGCCCAGGCCGACGCTGGCCCTGGGCAGAGTAGAGTACACCCTCGGGTCCGCACCACTAGGATGCGACATTTCGCTCGCCGAGAGTCCGAGATTCCACCTACTCCCGTACATTTCCCTCATCACCGCATCCATTTGGTCTTCATTGTCGCTCGAAACGCTCACCGACCCGGTCCCGGCGCCATCAGCATCGTTCCCGCTCCAAGTCTTCTTGCTGCCCTGCTTATGCGTTACTCGAGGAAGCCGTCCTCCTGAGAATATACCGTGGCATGAGCGCGGTGTCAACGTGGATATGGACAGGCGCGCATGTACAGGATTAGCCCGTCGCGTGTAACCGATCCCATTTCCGATTCGCTCAATTCCAGGTGGTAGGTCAGGAATCGGATACTGCATGAATGCAGGAATTGGGGTACTCTCTGGTCGTGCCTTCTTGCGTAATTTATTCCGCCCGCCTGCAGGTGATTGCGTAAACGGAGAGGCGTAGATCGACTGAGACTTCCGTAGCTGGTGAGAGGATAAAGGAGAAGCCACCCCCATTGGATTCACTCGACCAGAGGCAGGTGCAGACTCCAGCGTGTCCAGATCAAAATTGAGACTAGCATATTTACGGAGAGTTCCAAGCTTCTTCGGTGATTGCGGACTTGGCCGACAAACTCCGAATTCCGTAGGGATCCCGTTGTCGACTCGGTGCTCTTCGGTACCCAAGACCTGAGTGGCTTGCATTAGAGGCGTGCTTTCTGACGTCTCTGAATTAAGGGATACAGTTGTGGCATCTTGGCCAATTTCGAAACTGTCTGGAGGACCCTGCGTAACACCCTTGTCAAAATTAGTACTATCCTGTTCCCAAGTGAATGAGAACCCTTCGACAACCCCAGTGTTAGCCGACCTATTACGCAACAAGGTCGAGGCAAACATTTCTCGGACTTCTGCGATTGAGGTATCTGTGTCAACAGACAGATGATTCTGTCCATCTTGTCCGACGCCACCTTTGAAGTCCACAGTACCTGTCCATGACATATCAATAATATAATCTGACACAATATTTAGCACTTCACCTGAAAGTTGTTTGTTTCCAACCATACCCCAGTCCCTTGACACAACAAGTTAGGGAAGAAAATGATGGAAATCATATCACGTACGTTTGCGCAAAATACGCGTGTCGTTTGATGCCCTTTGCATCCAGACGCAACGCCGGATTACGCTCAAGACACTGCCGACAACAGAATCACGCTCGGGTCAAAGCTCAGATGTGGACTTTGCCCTCATAAATACCTTTGAAATGATATCCAATAGAAGGGGACTTAATAACTCGGATACACTAGGCGTCAAGTCACCATGCAAGAGTCTACTGAGCAGTAGGGATGGATGTGACAGTGACAATTCATCAGAATCGCAAAAAGCATGCTGCGAACGTATACAAATTAGCCGAAGAGTGCGCCGCACAACGGTACTCACTTTGCCTGTGGACATGAAACATAGCACTAGACCGAAACCCCACCAGTCGACAGCAAAATTGTATCTCCAATCGAGAAGGACCTCTGGTGCCTGATACACTCCAAAATTCACTTCCCTCACGCTGTCGGTGGATTTTACAGCGTCATATAAGGGCTTCTGTTCGAATCGAGCTTCGCTAAAGCCTGAGAGAACGACGTGTCCGTCCCCTCCTACGAGCACATTCTCGGGCTGCACGTCCCTATGGAGGATTCTTAGCTCATGTAAGGCTGAAATGCCGACTACCTGTACGTGTGCCCCAAGTCAGTCCCGGAGCAAGCTCGGAGTCAGTAGACCCGGCCGCAGAAACAGCACTCACGAGCTCAGCAGCGAGTAGCTGTGCGTCGTCCCGGTGGAAGGGACCATTGCGCTCCACACACGTTTTCAAACTCGTCTCCGCGTTGCCGGTCTACGTGTGCAAAGATGAGACCAGACTAACGATGGAGAGAAGCGCGCCAATGGCGAGAATCGCTCACCATCACCAGGTAGAGTGCCTTTTCGTCCTGGAAGCTCCACTGCAGCTTAGCCGCAAACGGAACTCCGCGCTCAGTGAGCAAACGCAGCACTGCCTGCTCGGTCCGGAAACGCCAGAGATCTCGGCCGTCCAGGCACGCAGCTTTCCTTAACACTTTGATAGCGTACGGATTTCTGGTATCCTTCTTGCGCCCCAGGACAATGTCGCTCGATTCATTTGGTTTTACGCGCATTGAGCAGATGACTTCAAAGTCTGCCGCAGAAACCTGCAGCAATCTCAGTTATACTGTATCCGACAGTTCTTGGGGCATTCCGAGCCATGAACACGGACCTTACGCGGAGACCGAATGTCCTCAGGGACTACTGTCAAAGCTTTAACTGGCTTCCGTCTTGGAGATAGAACCATAAGCTCCTGCAAGGGTGCGTATTCAGCCGCAATTTCTCATGGACGGAATCATTTGACCTACGTCAACGTCTTCGTCGTCCCAATCTGGTACAAGTCTCTTGATATCTTTAAACTGCTGCAGACGCAATGAGAAAACACACTTCCTTGACACTTCCACAAAAATGCGTACCTCAACCTCGAAGCTTACGTCGGATCCAATATTTCGTTGGTGGACTGTATGCCATTGTGTCTGTTCCAAAGTTGGCGTGTACATGATGAAAGGCGTGTGGTCGCATCTCATTCCTGTCAGACATGGCTACGTATCTTTGTCAATAAACTAAACTTTCTCAAACATAGGATGCTCGTCAATAGCATCTCCCTTACCTCGGACTGAGGTGTGTACGGAAAATTCGATACGCCAGCCGTATCATGGCACATAGAAGGTGTGACGGGGAACTAGGGCCTGACCTTAGGCACATGCTTCATGAGCTGCCCCACCGTAACGGAACACGCACCTCGCTGGCGGCTTTGCGGTGACCCGGAGGCTCGAGCAGGCTGGAAGTTATGCTCGGTGTCCTAAAATATTCTACCATTGCTGATTTGATCACCACCATTGTTGGTGATCACAAAATACGTGCACAAATACCAAGTCCTCGCGCAGAGATTAACAGTTTGGAAATTTTTACAACTGCGAGGTGGTAAGAGAACAGACGTGCATCGACCGACGCATCGTTAAAATCGAACCTAGTCCAATCCAAATGTGGAAGCTGGCCGATGGGCGCCTGCCATCCAATCCGTTACGGTCATACTTATGAGAAATCAGCCGCAGGTGGCGTAACGCAGCAGACATACTAGACTATCCACAGAAGGAAAACCACGCAAAATACAGATATAAATTGGTAATAGTACACTTTTGCCTAACGACTACAAAAACATTTCCATCGACGTTGTTCATCGTCACGACCGCAATGATTGCATACAAACTGAAGGTATTTGAGAACTTCGCTTGGGGCCATGGTATGGCTTCTGCCCTTGATCAATTGCTGTTACAAGCCTTCACTCCCATGCTCAGTCCAGCCACCTTTATCTCTCTGCCCGCCTGGCGCGCCCACTTTCATCTTGCTCTTCGTTTTCCGGCCACCCAGCTCCTTGTACATCTCACGCATCTCGTTCTTCGACAGCTTGGTTTCTCCTTCCGCTTCCTGGCGCCACTTTTCATCGCGTAACTCTCGAGGTGTCTGATGACCAGAGCCCCCAGGTGTGGAACGGCCAGAGTACGAATGGTAGATTGGCCCAAGTTCTTGGGAGCGATTGGCGATAGTTTGCAAGTGCATTATCCGCTATGGAAGGGTAGGAGGCGCTGATAAGTGTTTGAGAACTAGACCAACAGTGACGCTGACCCAATTCTGCTTTGACTCGCGCTTGGTCCATTTGCCAGGAGGCAAGCTTTCATCATGGAAGTTCTCTTTTCGATAATACTGGAACCAAACTAGTTTTGAACAAAGAATATAGGTCAGAAATTCAAGATGCATGTAATTTGTCGAAGGAAATAACCATAGTTCAACGTTTGGCTCTTGTTCCACTTCCTAGACACCCGTGTACATCTGGCAAGGTCTCGGATAGAGAGCCGAGAGAATATACGCTGCGATACCTCAGTAGGGAAAACTTTGAGTGGATCAGTTCGAGCACTCTGGATTGTCGAAGACAACTGGAGGTGTCTACGGGCGTGTCGTGCAGCCCCTCCAGGGCCGGGCGATGACGGGCGAGATGTGGGTCGCGATCGCGATGCAGGTGTCCCGGGCATGGATACCTGTACGGGAATATTCGGTTCCAACATGCGATGCATGCGATGTGAATGGATAACCACGTACAACGCCTACAAGTTCGTCATCACTGTCCCTGTCGCCGTGCGGCGTGGTTCGCCCACTGTGACTGCGGTGATGGCGGTCAGTAGATTCGCCGAGTTGCTTATCTAAGGAATCTAGGGTCTGAGTACGGAGAACATCCTGCAGGAGAGACATGGTGTAGAGCTTCAACGGGGTGTTCTACAAGAGATGGTGGTGGTAGCAGAAAGAGAGAGGATGACAAGTGGGACTCAGTTTGAGCGTCTGGGGTTTCCCCAGATTGAGGCGGATAATTACAGTGACGTCAATTTCCTTATAGGGAAAGGTCTCCTTCATCTCGCCCCACCAAGACCGACATTGGAGACTTTGATCTCCGAGAACGCCCGGTCATTGAGAACCACTACAGCTGAGAGGATCTCCAAGCTTGAGTTCGCAGCCAGACAATTATATAAACACTAGGAATCTTGGAAAACATATCGTAACGTGTGATAAGTTAGATGTCGCAGACAGCAAGGCATGGGCTTCATGATTCTTCCACGCACAACCACCTGCGGACTTTTGGCGTATCATGCTTGATCGTCCCATCTATTGGTGCTAGATTTGCCTTGAGGTTGCCTCGGAAGAAGACGGTGTACATGATGCACTAAAAGCCAATGAGAGTAACATCAATCCCGGGCATATGCGAAGGGGTTGCAATAGCGCCTTACATTTGGCCGCTTTGATGAGTGTACTTGCTTGAGAACTTTACCATGGTACCATTTCCCTTGCATACTGATCCAGACAAGATCTCCGCGCTGCCAAACGAGAACGTCAGATAACGAAATTAGTTCCGAAATTGATCAAGTTTACCTCAAACACATCTTCCTCTTGCTCATCCCAGGTGTTTTCTGGTGGCGTATCTTCCGAAGCATCGCTCCCAGATTGGTCAGGTTCAGAAGCCTCAGAGCCCGAGCTGTCGTATTCAGAATCGACGTATTCCGAGTGCACAGAATCCGAGTCCTCATCAGACTCCAAATAGTCGTCGCTATCATATGCGTCCTGTGCGTCTATCCGAGGTAATGGAGGACCAAGACCTTTTCGCCTAGGTTCATAGACCCAGAAATCACGCGGATCTTCTTCGGGCGACGGCGACCGCAAGTCAACACCGCGGTATTTGGGCTCGCAGACTGAACGGGACTTCGCATATCCTCTGATCGTTTGCATTGTGAATGTGTGGCGCGTAGTCAGGGCGGATGGTGAGAGCGTGGTGGTCGCCTTGAGCAGGGTGGCACGATAGGAGTGGCAAGATCTTGATCAAGATAGTCCAAGGTGAGGAAAGAAAGGCGGTAGGTGTGTCAGCCTTTTATATCTCAGATGATTGTGGTCCAAGCTATGATCAGAAGCAGTGTCCTTTGTTGTTCTCGGTCTGTGGCCCACGCGCTTGCCACGCTTCTTTTGTATTCGCGTGATTTGGGCCCATCTGAAGCATGCATCACTTCTGCAGTTGGGACAAAGCAACATGGCAACGGATGCTGGTGATGATGGCCCACGCCAGCAGGAGCATGATGATAAAAAACCAGTAGCTTTCGAAAAGTTGTGGCGAAATCGTGACGCACCTTTCGTGAAGTTGCTGTCACTAACAAACTGAGGCTGCATTGCACTAAGAAGCCACGAACCCGAGCCAAAGCGCGGTTTTTGGCCTCGTACATTACTATATACTACGCCGCTCACCTGAGATAGTTGAACATAGCCACTTGGACTCGTGATACTTGGTTGTGCTGTGCTGTACGAGCAGACTGCACGTTAGGGGGGAAAAGGCACGAACATCAAACAAGAAAGCCACTTCGCTCAGACACAGAGTTTGAGGGATATCCAAGATCTCGACGGCACGGCTGGGCGCGGGGCCCACTGTGGCACGCATCAGCCGCGCGAAGCCGTTTTAATTACCTATTCGAGCAGTTACTGCCGAGCGTCCATCGCGACAGTCGGCGCCTACTTGCGGCACATTAAAGTTCAGAAAGCTGGTCAAGTTAGCAAGGGGTCCGACGTCCTCACGCAACGGCACAAGCTCAAACTTTTGAATCGAATAAGTCTATGCGGCCTCGGAATGGCAGAAGTAGGGCTCTGATGCACTGGCAGAAGCCCTGGAGACTCAGATGAAACTGATATTTATTAATTGTACGCAAAATGTCAGTAAGACTGAGTGAGTCCCAGTAGGTGCATAACACTTGGTCCGTTCGCCTGATTGTGACCTCTGGGATCAGGTGCCTATCGATTGTGGATGGCTGCCATGATGGTACTCGGGCACTCTCCACGAACTAAATCGCCGCGCAGCGCAATCTTACCGGTGTCAATGTCTCTTTGTATATTCTGGGATGCCAGCCAGGATGATGGTGGTGCCGCGCGCGAAAATTCGGGTTCCAGAGCTGTGAGTGCGCTTACCGCACCTCGAATTATTTTGCCTGATCTCCATCACACATTAGACAACAACTAGTATATGAACCACTGGCCAAACAGTGGCTAAAATCTTTCGACGGTGACGAGTGATGGGCACCCGTGGCTAAAGAAGTTTAATCCTGCACTTTTGACTGTGGCGTATTCCTCACTGCGATAATTTTGACCGGTGACTACCTGAAGTCAATGATGATTCCATTCAACAAGAGCTGTTCTGGGCAAGTTTTTCTTGTGTTTGTCGTGTTCAGAACACCAAATGTATTGTGAAGGCTTTAACGAACACACTCTCAATCTCTTTTTTTCTGCGTGAGTGTCAATGGGTCTAATCGGTTCTTACCAAATCAACCAGCCATTTAAGGATTGACATCTTTGAAGGCTCGCATAACATCGATGTAACTTCTTGATTCCCGGCTGTGGTTTAGCCAGAGCTAAATGCGACGTCATTATACGAGCCGCGCTTTCTCAATTAGCTTCGTGGTTTCCAGCATGCCCCGCTGCGACAACCCTTCAGGACTGGCACTGATATACTTGTGGCTTGGTTCTTTTAGAGTTTACAATTTAATGTAACTTGCCCAGCGATCTTACCCATCTGAACATAGATGCTACAACGCTTTGCTATATTCAGGAGGACATAGAGCTGAAATTCGCGGCATACACTCTTGTGATCTGAGTCTTGGGTGATCTTTCAGCTTGCCCAATCTAAACGAACCGTCGAATGTGATGATCTTGCACGATTCTGCCACTTCAGTAAAAACAGCTAAGTAGTGGCGCGCACAGTACGTGACATCATGGCAGGATTGGTTTCCCATATCGAAATCCGCTAAATAAATGCAGACCAGCCCGATGCCGTCGCTACGATCACGCAACAGTCCAGCGTACACGATGAAACACAATGTACTTACTGTCTACATAGGGCCCGGCCCTTTCGGACAATAAAGGGAGACAAAAAAAGCGGGCCAAGATCGTACAGCTGAACTCACTATGAGCGACACTTTCAGACTGTATCTGATTGACGACCGTGGAGAACGAGCCGCAAAATGCCTTGACATAGACCTAGATATGAAAGTATATGTCGTATAACAGAGCCGTGACCGCGGCCGGCTGCAAACTGATCGACTGAACGGAACTACAGGAGGGAAACGTAACAATAAAATAGAGAGAAGAACCGAAGGCGGAGGATGGAACTGAGTGCAGCAAAGCCAATCACCTATCCTCATCAACCGCTTCAAGAATGTCATCTCTGAGTCGAAAGCACAGGCTGGACCAGGACGATGTCACGGAGCCCAAGAGACCTAGAGCCGAAGTCGAGAGACACGACTATTCAGGTGATTCTTCTGCAGCACGCTTCCCGGTAGTTGCTTCGTCCACTCCGCTTACATTCTCGAGCACGCCTCCCAGAGCAACCCCCCGAGCTTGGCATGCAGATAATAACGATCATACTGAATTGATGCTTTCCAGCAGCTTCCGACAGATTAGAGGCGATTCTTTTACTCTCTTTCTCTTTTCTTTCTTCTCTTCAATCAGCGATCAATTGAGCCTCAACCCTCACTGCCTTTGAGCCTCACCAGCAGATTGTTTGGCTTGAGATCGGGTCCGCATCGGATGCTTGAGCCCTTCCACTCTCATATTCCTCGCGCCAAAACGCTTTTGTCCATTAGGAGGTTCCTGCAGCGGGTGTAGAATCGGTTCCGTCTTTCCTCTATACTTTTCCACCCCACCTCTTCGAGTACCGTGTGCTTTAGAACCACCACTGGTGGGCTTGGGAAGTTCAACGTCTGCCGGATTCGTTATCGAATCCGTTGCCGGTACAGCTGCTTCAGCCGGCTCTTTGATCGCATTCTCGTCAGGATCGGGAAGAGGGCCGATAAGGTATTGTACGGGAATCCGTCCAATCGCGCTGAGAATTTTGATAAAATCCAAGGGGACCCTACCTGCGGCTGTGCGGCCAGGTATGTTCCATAAATCCTTCTCAATATCAAAGTATCGATTTACGATCCTCGTCCTGAGCACACTGATGCATCGTCCAAAGATGTCCAGATCAGGGGAAAGGGACATCTTTGCGGCGTCAAAAGTATCGGGAACTCTCAAAGCATTCTGTCTGGCGGGCAGCGAGTAGAATACACCGGTAGCAAAAGACCTCTGCTGCCGATAGTCGTGAGGTTGCGGGGGAGCTCCGTCGATAGACTTGATCCTCTTGTTAAACACAAAATAAACCGATATCCACCATAGAGATTCGAAATCGTGAAGGGGATTGTACCGGAAGATCACTATTGCTGGTTCAATTCGGGGGCCTGTTGCGGTAGAGGATCGGTGCAACTTATTGATTGTATCCAAAAGATCATCAGTCTCTATCGCGGCGTCCTTCGATTCCCTGAGCTTAAAGAAATAATTCTGGCCATCCACTTCGACAGACATGAAGTCAGCCGTGCCCTAACACGATCAAGAAATTTAGAAGCGTTAGGCGAGTCAAACAAAACAACACTCACTGTCCGAATATCATGAGAGGGGCAAGCCTCATCTAGCCGCTTGGCGTACTCAAAATCCGCCAACCTGACTCTCCCATTCAACACCAGAATATTGCCCGTGCTCAAATCTCGATGAACCCAACCGGCTTCATGCAGAAATCGCAGCACTGCCAGTAATACAAACACATCTCAGTACAATTCAGTAAATTGTGCATCAGGATAATCTTACCTAAAGCCGTCTGAGAGAGATAATCGAAAATCGCGCACAACGAGATTTCTTGATGCAGCGCGGTGCACACCTCCTTGAACACGATCCGATAGTGCGCCCTCGGATCATACTGATAGTACCTGCGATGCTGGACGACTTCACACAAACCATCATCGCCACGATGGTGTCCCGCATCACCCTTCGGCGCAGTATTCGATCCATGCTTGGCACCTGACAGACTCGATCCCTGCTTGCTACCCGATCCTGATCGCATATCCGAAGGACAGCTGCTCTGGCTTGTATCATCGGTCATCTCCTGCCCCAGAGTTACGAAACGAGACTGCAACGGGAACTGGCCATCTTTCAGCGAGATCTCCCTGCCTCTCGTCAACAAGTCCCGCGTATGGTCGACAATACCACCCGACATTCGCAC